CTACATCCGACACACGACACACAAGAGACACTAGTTGGTTTCAGGGATAATAGTTCAAAAGTTACGATTTGATTTTGGATTCGAATTTTTCTTTCTTTCCAGGCTGAAAGCCATTATTGCCTGAGAAACCGAGGTTTATGCCTTGTTCCGATCTCGTGCACCGTCGGAGTTGCTTGCAGCAGCAACGGTGCTGACATTTGGGCTCCCATCAAGACCACATCTCCCAAATTTGACAAGGTTATCTCACAAATCAATTGACACTTCACTTTCCTAACAAGGTAACCAAACTTTGTGACATATTTACAAGCCTGAAGCACTGAGATAGGATGATGGTAGGCAAAATTATCAGACTTCGGTTTCGAGAATCGTGTACTAAGAATGTACTATCACATTGGATGCAGAAACAAAGAGCGGTTTGGGTGGGAAAAAAGTCTTATGTTTAAGGGACGGACTTGTATAGCTTTTTTACTTATGTATTCTTAATAACAGTTAAAAAATTCGGGGAGTGACCAGCCATGCCATCCCCGGCTGCATCCTAAGTTCTGTCCAAGACTGCTAAGATCAAGTGACATTCATCTTTATTATCTGAACTTAATGGTTTTCTCGAATCGGGTCATGTAATGTAAAATGTATATTGATGACAATTGAATAATACAATAATATACTTCCCTTCTAAAGATAAGAAAGGTTAAGTTACATTATACACCCAAAGGCCTTTTAAAAATAAAACCCTAGTACCTCTACGTGTGACTTACATCACGTGTATTAAAAGAGAAAAGAAATTATACAATAAAATCACAGGAAGTAAATTACCCCGGTTTAATGCTAGCTGATATCTTGCGTATCAGAGGGTGAGGGTGCTGAGTTATTGGTCTCACCGCCGGTAGTATGCGACTTGATATATGAGCGGGCGACATCCAACATCAACTCTACCTCTTTCTTGTACTACACGGAACAAAGGTAATAATATTAAAATTCAAGCTCTTTTGCTTATGAAAATGAAGCATGATTGTTATCAGTAAAGAGCATAGTTCAAATGTTCAACTAGAGCTGTATCAACCTCGTTGATAGCACCTGACTTGATTTTCGATTGCATGACACACCATTTCTTAAAGAGAAAATAATTTCAGTGACTGAAAATGTCTTATAATATACGATTTTAACCAATTTTTTTTGGATTTGCGTAAATGACCAACAAATTCGCAACGCGAACCCCAATTTCACAACACAGGTTTCAAAATCGCAACGCGAAAGTCAAAATCGCAACGCGAATTACCGATATAGGTAATTAACGTTGCGAAAACGAAATTCGCGTTGTGATTTTGGAGAATCACGTTGTGAATTTCATTTTCGCAACTCGAATTTCGCAGCGAAAATGAAAGCTAATTACCTATATAGGTAATTCGTGTTGCGAAAATGAAATTCGCAACGCGAAAGTAAAATTTTAAATAGTTAATTACCTAAATAGGTAATCAGCGTTGCGAAAATGAAATTCGCGTTGCGATTTTCCAAATTCGCAACGCGAATAGTTAAATCGCAACGATAATATGTAATTCTCAATGCGAATAGGTAAATCGCAACGATAATATGTAAATCGCAACGCGAATTCTCCAAATTAGCAACTCGAATTTTACAACGCTAATTACCGATATAGGTAATTAGCGTTGCGAAAACAAAATTCGCGTTGCGATTTTCTAAATTTGCAACGCGAAAGTCAAATTCGAAACGATAATATGTAAATCGCAACGCGAATTCTCCAAATTCGCAACTCGAATTTCGCAACCTTAATTACCGATGTAGGTAATTAGCGTTGCGAAAATGAAATTCGCGTTGCGATTTTCCAAATTCGTAACGCGAAAGTCAAATTCGCGTCGAGTTGCGAATTTGACTTTCGCGTTGCGATTTTGGAACCTGTATTGCGAAATTGGAGTTCGCGTTGCAAATTTGTTGGTCATTTTTGCAAATACAAAAAAAGTTGGTTAAAATCGTATATTATAAGGCATTTTCGGTCACTGAAGTTATTTTTTCTTTCTTAAAATGTGCACCTGCAAAACTAATACCACCCCATTTAGCACAATTATGTGATGTTCATATAGAGAGAATGAAAGTATTCACTCTTTTGACTTTCACTGTAGAATAATGCATGCTCCGGGAGCTAAATGTCATATTTGAATAATTGAAAAACAAGCAAAGGAAAGGACATACCAGTATCTTCTCCAGTTCCTTATTATTAGTATCGCGAATACCATCCGGAATCTTGGGTATACCAGACTCGTTATTATTGCTTGGCTGTTCCATGCGATTCACTCCAGAATCTTCTTGATTATTATTATGGACCTTACAAGCCTCCCTGAGATGGCCGAATCGACCACAGTCAAAACAGATGAGAGGGAGGTTTTCGTACTCAACGATCTGGACTTTGTTGCCCACCATCACCCTGGGAAATCAATGGCTTCGTAAGGTCAACGTAAATAGCAACTCGGGAGGCCTGGAAACCGAATCCAGGCTATGACCTTGTCGGATAAGGTTGTGTTGTGCTCATAGTATCAAATTGCAGTTGCGGATGCGGTTGTGGTGTCGCGGTTGCGGATGCATAATGTGTTGCGGCTGTCGAGGGCGTGATCTCTTATTCAAAAATCACAATATGTATAAAATAGTATATTTATACATTTTATAGTTATCTTTTAATATACTAATATTAATATTTCTTTAATATTTTATTTTAAAAATAAAAAAATTAATTTTATAGATAAAATTTATTAAAAACAAGTATAAACCATAGAAGTGCTATTGTACTGGATAATGAGTAATAACAATTATAATATTAATGAATAACATATAAACAATATCACTAAAATCATATCAAATTTTTTATATTTTAACATAAAAATATTCATTTTACATAACTTAGAAAGAAAAAAAAAATACATAACTACAAACATAAAAATACATAACTAATTTTAAACATAACTATACGATATTCTTAATGATATATTTTAATTAGTTTTAAGAATTAAATTAGAATAATTCATCTATGTAATTTATATTTCAGATAATTTAAAGTTTGTTGCGGCGTTGCGGCGCAACAAATTGCGTGTTGCGGTGTACGTAACGATTTTTGACCGCAACAATCGAGATGCGGTTCTCTTATATCGTTGCGTCGATATTACGTCGGCTAAAAATTAAATGTTACGATATGGGTGTTACGCTGGGTTGTGGCTGAAATTTAGTACTATGGTTGTGCTAAACTCCATTGTCCAAGTTTGGACAGTTAAATACTGGCCGTAAATGATCCACGGTCCTTCGGCTAACACTTTGACATAGTTTTTGTGAATAACCCAATAATGAATAATTCTTTACTTAAACTTCATTTAAGGAATGGTTAAAGTTAAAATTAGATTCACTTTAATTGTTATTCTTTTGTTTTTTTTACAATATTTACTTTAATTTATCATTTATATATTATTGTGCTTTTTCTTTTATCTTTATCAAAATTATTTGCCTCATCATTGCGTTAAGAATCCAATTTTCCTTGCGATTGGCATGTAATGTTTACGACTAAGAATTTGTAGCTTTTGCTTTGAGAAGATGTGATGTTTTAGAGTTACATTTTTCTTTATTGTCTCCCCTTTGTTTTTCCAGGATAAATTAGAAGTTTAGTATCTAAACAATTAGTTTTGATCCGTTTTAGTAGGGGTGAGCATTCGATCTATTCGAGTTAAGAATTTTCGATTTGTTTTTGTTGATGAGTCGTATTTTACAACTCAAACTTAACTTGGAATTTTCTCGAGTCGAGTCGAGTTTAAGAAATTCGAGTCGAGTTATTCGAGTTTCTATACTAATTTTATTATAATTATTTATGACATTATGGCAAAAATTTGTTTCAATTTTTCGACTTTCTCTAACCATATATATATATTATATTTTTTTCACATTATAATGTTATTTAATATATAAATACAATCTAAAATTATAAAACATATTCATAATATTCTATTTCAAAGAAAGTATTTTGAGGGTAAAATATTGATGAGAGTATAAAGGAGTCAAAGAATTGATAGGAAGAATGAATTTGCAAACAATTGTAGTCAAAAGACCAAATTGAGTAAAATGCAAAGTTAAGGGAATAAATAAAAAAGAGAGAGGGAATTTTTTAGTGAAAAAAAAGAAATTGAAGTTACATAGGTATTCTATTGTGGTATGAGGAAGTGGTTCAAATTTCGTAAAAAACAAACTTAAAATAAATGATGGATTGAAGAAATAAGGAAATTATAAAAAATTGAGGGACTAAATTGAAAATGAAAAATTTATTATGAAAAAGAGGAATTGAAAGTACATATATATTCTACAATGTTTTAGCAGCATGTGTTTCAAATTTGGTAGAAAATCGACTTAAAACGAAAGAGAAATTGAAAGAATAATGAATTAGAGACTAAATTGTAAAACTGTCAAAAATACTTAGTCATATTTTTTATTTTTTGAGTAACTCGAAATTTCAAAATTTTAACTCGACTCGAACTCGAAAACCGAATTTATAATTCAAGTTGATTAGAATAACTCAAAATTGAAAAAAAATCGATTTTTCGAGTCGAGTCGAGTTTTGCTCACCCCTACGTTTCAGTATCTAAAATTTAGGTACTAAAACATAACAAAACTGATAGTTTAAGTACTAAACGCATAATTTACTTTTTTTTTAGTTGGTAAGGAGAGGAACAATAAAAATTTTATATTGTCAAAGATACACTGAAAATAATAATAATAATATTTACAATTAGGAATTTTGTTATGCAATGGCAATCATAATCTACAAGTAAGAATTTACGACTTTTGCTTTCAAAAGAAACAGAGTTACTCTTTTTCTTTATTGTCTTCTCTTTCGTTCTTTACTTGAATATGGTACAAGGAATGAGTAGATCAAAGAAATAAAATGATCAACAAGTTTTGGATATAAATAGCACAGCCTGTGAGGTTGTGGTAAGCATAAACAAGAGAGAAAATACATAGTAATTGGTAGAGATCATCAAAGAGAGAAAATGGCATTCGCTTCGCCAAAGTTCATCGTGCTCAAATCCGAGAAGAATAACCAATATTTGAGCTACGACCGAGACGATTCAAAGGTACAACTCCGGTGCTTGGAAGCTCTGGCTTTGAGCACTCCATTTACAAAATTTGAGGTGGTGTCTAGCGCCCAAGATGGCCTGGTGCACATAAAAAACTGCCGCCTCAACAAATACTGCGAACGAGTCAAGGAGCCTCCCGTGCCGCATGACCCCGACAACTTTTATTACGCCGCAACCGCCGACAAGCCGGAGGAGGACCAATCCAAGGAGTCATGCACGTTGTTCAAGCTTGTCTCGGTTGACATTGCAACAAATGAGATACGTATCCAGCACGTGCAATCAGGGAGATATTTAGGCTATTGCGGAACAGATGGGTATCCAGACTACTACCCTTCCGATTGTCTTTTCACCGTCTCCGACTGGGAGTTGCTTGCAGACTGGGCGTTTACGTCGACGAGGTTTATCGTGCTCAAATACGATGCGAACAACGAGTATTTGGGCTTTATCCGTGAGAAGGGAGAGTCTTACGGATATCTCAAATGTTCGGAAACTCGGATTCTGAGTCCATATGCCAAATTCGAGGTGGAGATCGCTAAAAGTCCTGGCATGGATGGCTTGGTGCACATAAGGAGCTGTCAAAATAACAAATATTGGATTGCCGGCGGCAACAGCGGGATTACCGCAAGAGCCAAGGAGAAGGAGGAAGACCAATCCAAGGAGTCGTGCACATTGTTCAAGCTTATCTCTGTCGACGACGCGGCGTCTAAAGTCCGAATCAGGCATGTGCAATCGAAAAGATATTTAAGGATATTAGATGAAACTTGGCGCGTGTTGGCAGAGTCCGAAGATTTCGATGATTCTTCCCGTGATTTGTTCATGATCATTGACTGGGATACTCCGGTGGTTCTGCCGAAGTTTGTGGCGTTCAAAAGAACTGATGATCAGTACCTGTGTCTTCGTGACATCGATGGCAAACCGAGTTTGCAGTTTACATCTGATGATATTGGTGATTCGGGTGTGGCAATGGAGATTTTCATGACTAACAATGGGGACATTCGCATCAAGCCCGTTTCTTCCAGTAAATTCTGGAGGCGTGGATCGGATTTGGTTCTGGTGGATTCCGATTACACTAGCAGCATCAACAACACGGACACCGTGTTCCGCCCCGTCAAAGTTAATGACAACACAATAGCTCTTCTCAACTTAGGCAACAACAAGTTCTGCATTCGCAACGCAAAGACGAGTTGCCTTAGTGCTGAAGCCTCCTCCATTACCAAGGATGCTCAGCTGCAGGTGGAAGAGCCTGTCTTGGGAAGGAAAATTTACGGTATCAAGTACGATCTTGATAACGCCAGGATCTACGACGAAACCGTCCTTTACGTGGCCAGGAATTCGGCTAGTAACTATACCAATCAAGCCGAAACATTAGACGTAAGGCTTTCTTATACAGACATCAAGACCAGCACTTGGATGTGGCAAGCATCACTGAAGTTAGGAGCCAAAGCCACCATGGGATTTGACTTACCACTCATTTTCGAAGGGTCGATCGAGTTGTCCGGTGAAATCCAGGGTGGAAAAGAGTGGGGAGAGACCACGACAACAAGCACCGTAGTGGAACTAGTTCACCAAGTTAAAGTGCCTCCCATGACAAAGGTAACGGTCGATTTGGTTGCGAAAAAAGGCAAGTGCGATGTTCCTTTCACGTTCTTGCAAAAGGACTGTCTTTATAATGGGAACGGTCTTGTACATGAAGTGCCAGGGAACACTTACACTGGTTCTAATTACTACAACACCGACTTTCAAACCAAAGAAGAGTCTCTCAGCTCTTCGATTTGAGCAGCTATGGCGGCAGTGTGGGCCAGCTTATGTGCATCTACTAAGTTAAATAAAACCGTGCTTCCATCGTCGAAGCCAATGTGTGCCAGTGTGCTCGTGTGTGTTTTATCAATGATCATGTATCGATAATCCCATGTACTTTTGATACGTGAATAAATACTATGGATTTGTGTGTGGTGTGCTCAAAATTGACTTAAATATTCCACATTTCGTCACGACTCATAACCCGAATCGTTTCAAACTCACAAAGGAAAACTAAGCCATAATGGTCCATAATATGCTTAAGCTTGATGAAGGGCTTCAACATAAAATAGTTGACATTTTTTTTTGATAACGTAGGACCTCCCAGGGCCAGGCTAAAGAACCCGACCATACAAGGCAACCTCCGGAGGAGCTCAAAGAACCCACCACTCTGTCCCCCCGCTTTTTTCCAGGATTTCCAGCCAACGCGGTTCGAACCTAGGACATAATAGTTGACATTCTTGTTATTCATTGTATCTTCGAATTTATTTGTTAATAACTCTTTCATACTCCAATATATACACGGTGGGACGAATAGAACCTAATAAAAAGTGACGTGATTTCATACCTTGAAACATTCGTTAATTTTTTTTTGATTATGTTATTTTAAGGTTTAATGTACTATTTGATATCTGAATTATTCATTATTTTTACAAATGTGATACTTGTGTTTTATTGTAAACAAATTTGGTGCCTATATTTACAAAATATTGCACATTTGGTACCCTATTTTATGACTTTTACAAATATGGTACAAGTGTTTTCTATTTAACCAATTTAGTACTTATATGTTAGGGTGAGCGTTCAATCTAGTTGAGTCCATTCTAGTCAAAAAATTTTGAGTTTCTATTTAATTTTTTTGGTTGCCTTCCAGTTCTAAGGTTTCACCTTGACTAATCTAGATTGATCCGAGTTGCACACCTAGTTTGGGTGAGTCTCCCAGCGGGGATTTTTTTGCATACACAAGGAGTCGAACCTAAGACTTTGCTTAAGCGATATCAAGCTGTTTACCACTTGAACCAACCTCATTGGTTATTTAAATTTAATTATAAAGATTTACAATATTATGACATTATTTGATTCTAATTTAAATGGTATTTTATAATCATATACAATACATATACCGTACAAAGTCGAGGGACTCAACTTTTTGTACTTTCTTCATATGTGATTTACATATATCATACAAAGTCGAGGGACTCAACTCAAACTTTGATTCAAACTTGAAAATAATCTACTAATTACTAAAAATTTTGAGTTATTCGAGTTGTATTTTACAACTCGATTTGAACTTGAATTTTTTTAGTCGAGTCGAGTTTGTGAAATTACAACTCGAAGTTAATTCGAGTCGAGTTTTTCAAGTAGAGTTGAGTCGAAAAAATCGGTTTTTCGAGCGAGTCGAGTTTTGATCACCCTTGGCTATATGTGTCTTTTGTAATAGTATGAGGTGATTATAAGGTAGTATTTGTTCAGAATTTTATTAACCAATTGACAATGCAAACACACCCTGTAAACGCAGCTGCTCGAACCCAAAAACTTTAAGAAGAACAACATTCTCTTTTATCACTGAATCCACTTAATAGGTACAATATCTATATTTATTAGACATTACACATAGTGGCAAATCTTAACAAAATAGTTTGTGAGGGAACAAATTAACAATAAAAAAGTTGAGGGGACAAATTGTAATTTACAAAATTAAATGTTAATTTACCAATCAAGCCGAAACAATAGACGTGAAGCTTTCTTATACAGACACCAAGACCAGCACTTGGATGTGGCAAGCATCACTGAAGTTAGGAGCCAAAGCCACCATGGGAGTTGATGTTCCACTCATTTTCGAAAAGAGTGGGTAGAGACCACAACGATAAGCAGCGTAGTCGAACTTGTAGACCAGGTTAAAGGGCCTCCGATGACAAAGGTGACCGTGGATTTGGTTGCGAAAAGAGGCAAGTGCGATGTTCCTTTCACGTTCTTGCAAAAGGACTGTCTTTATAATGGGAACGGCCTTGTATATGAAGTGCAAGGGAACACTTACACTGGTTCTAATTACTACAACTAGGTAGTTTACCCTAGTGACCAAAACATAAATTAGATAATATATAAGTGACCAAATAGGTAGTTTACCCTAAATAATAATCGAAGTGTCCAAAACATAAATTAGATAATATATAAGTGACCAAATAGTTTACCCTAAAAAATCCCTAACCGGGTACCCGGAAAAATTCAATTTTGTGACCCGGGTCCGACCCGGGAAATGTCGGATCGGGTACCCGACTCAGCCGAATAATTTTTTTTAGAAAATTACCCAATTTTTTAGGTTTGGGTTGTCGGGTCGAGTATTTTTGCACACCCCTAACTACAACACCGACTTTCAAACCAAAGAAGAATCACTCAGCTCTTCGACTTGAGCAACTACTTTGGGCATTGCAGAGTCCGAGTCAGTCAGTGTGTGCTTGTGTGCTTTTTATTATTGATTATATATTGATAATCTCATGTACTTTCGATACATGAATAATTAATATGGATTCGCGTGTGGTGTTGATAGGAGTCGTGAACTGTTAAATAAAGTAAATATGAATGAGAGTAGTATTAGAGGAGAAAAGGTCTATCCACAATGAGTTAGAAATTTCTGATTTAGAGTTGCGTTGATTTTGATTAAGATAAACTGTAATAAAAATAAATAAATAAAAAGGGTTCGGTAAAATAAGAATTAAAGAAAATTAAATAAATAAAAACAATAAAAGTAATGATTCGAAAACAATAATGGAGAAAAAAGCCTTGAGCTTAGCCTTGCTTCGATTCCATTTGATCATCAAAATGAATTTTACTTCGGGATTCATGCATGTTACAGTCTGCAGGACTTAACCCTTATAACTTGCTTTTCTCTTTGGTATCCGATCTTCCCAAGTCACTTTTCAAAATTCGGTTCTTGAATGGACCGCCACTAAGTGTGTTACCAGAAAGTCGAACTGACTACCAGTAGATTGTTACTCCCAACTTTAAATCAGAACAATATCAAGACCACCATCGAATTGTTGAACTAAAAATGTTAAGACTTTTAAAAGTAAGGTCAATTACCAAACTAATTTTCCATAAAATTGAGAATGTAACCCGAAATTATTATGTACTTTTTTGAATTCTCATGTTTGGAATTGAGTAATTCTTAGCTCTTGACTAAATAAGAAAATTAGCTAAGCATTATAAAAATCATACTTAGCATATTTTGCGAAAACAATAAAAGTGTAAAGTAGAGTGGAAATGAAAAAGGAAGAAAGCTTTTTATAAAAATAAAAATAAAGTAGCAAAGTAAAAATTCAAGATATCCATGTCATACCTTGGGTATTTATAGGCTTCCAAATCCTAAAAATAACATGAAAATTGAAATGCAAAATAATCCTAAAAATTGAAAGATAATTACAAGTATTTTGATTTCAAACTTAAAACTAAATTTCATAAAAGTTCTCATCAGATTGTGCTGACTTAGTTGTTTCCAGAAACTTTCCCATGCTGACTTGACCTTCTAGAAACTGTCACGTCAGACCACATCATACCCAGTGTCGTGTCCATGTCTTCGACTATGATCGGATAATAAAAAAATGCAAACAACAACCTTTTACTACTGATTCTGGAATATAGACCACTGGATGAAAATAAGCAAAACAAAACCAAATTAGTAGTAATAATTTCATAATACAAGAAAATTAATAAGTAAATATTATCAATCTAGAACGTTAATCAGGTGTAATTTTTTTACATTTCGTCACGACTCATAACCCGAATAACCTGAGCTATAATGGTCCATAATATGCTTAAGCTCGATGAAGGGCTTAAACATAAAAATAGTTGACATTTCTTGATATTCATTAATATTCAACGGACCAATCTACTATTTTTGTTGGTGTAAAATAAAAAATAGTTACCGGGCTTCATTGTATCTTCGATTTCGGCGAATCTTGACAAAATAATTTGGGAGAGCTGAAGTTCAACCCAAAAATCGACCCATTTTTAGGTTAAAATATGGATAAGATCCGATCTAAACATAGATGTATATACGAGCCTAATAAAAAAATAAAATAAAAAGGTGTATTATTGTAATTATCTTTAAATATATAAAAAATAATTATAATATTATATCGAATCGAATAGGATCGAATCAGAACTCGTGAGTCTAGGTAAAATGGACATCCCTAGTTGCAACCCATCGTCATGAATTTTAATTACCTTCAAAGAGTGGAAACAATGGAGTGGGATGGAGGGTGTATTCAAAAGTAAACAATGTTGCAAGGTAACTAAATTGATTGGTTGAGTGAATCAATTTGATGTAAAGAAAATATAATATACAATTAAACCTAATACAAGTTGATATAAATCCTAATTATGCTAATCATCTACGTTTGTTAATAATTTTGTCATTAAGGTTGGCAGCTGAATGATTTAGTTTATTCTACCTACTATCCGGGAGCAGGAACATACGTATAATTTTATATTATGGGTATAAACTTTTAAAAAATCATACTAAAAATTTAGGATAGTGAATTATAAAGTTTGAGAGGATACAAAATTAAATCATCAATATAAAATATAAAATATAAAATATAAAGAAAATTCATAGACTATATATAAAACTTAATAAGAATTGAGAAACCTCAAAGTAGGAAAATTAGTGGGTTTGAGTGGTATTTTTTAGCCCAAATAGGGCATTCTCGAGAAGGGGTATCAGTACTATATGAGTCAGTACCAATATTGTTCTTCAGCAGAGCATAGAAAGCTTTAGTCTTCAAGGGAGTATCGAT